ACGTGATTTTATTTAACATATTTCCATTATGGTTAGGCTTAAATATTTGGACAGAGCTAATTTTAAATAATACTTGTCTTCTATAGTCCTATAGTATTGTTCTCTGGTATTTTATATATAATATTCTTTATTAGTACTACTAATTTAGTAGTATTTTATTATTTCATATAATATTATACAGATTATTTAATAAGTATTTTTTTGCAATAATCAACTTACTTAAAAAAATATTTTATAATTTAACCTTTGTAAACTCGGAGATTAAACAATCACCTACAATCAAGTTGGTTAGTAGGTAGAATAACAATCAGGTCTTCCAATTTTTCGTTACATACTATTTAAAAGATTTTGCAGTTTATGAGCTCTAACGATTGATCATTATTTAAATTAAAAATCAAAATTAAATTAAAAATTCAGAATGGTTTACTTACTTACTATTGAAAAAATGTTCCTCGAATATTATAATATTATTTAAATTTCTAATAAAACATTAGACTGTAGCTTATTTGTATACTATGTAAAATATTGTGTGAAAATTACAAGCCAACTACTACAAACAATATCGATCGAGTATTTAGACCGTTGAACAGTAAACCCAGGACACCACCCACTTTATCCACTCGATCCACTGCCCGAATTGCCACGTCGTTGTTTTCGATACGTCCTAGACAGTAGACATGCCGATGCGATATATTTCATATCCACCGATATGCGTTGCATTTATCTTATTCGTATGCGTATATGATTACATCTTTTAATGTTTATTAAACACGGAACCGATACGATTTGACGACTATAACAATCGACGCATTTTTTTTAGCTCTACAATACTCATATGGTGTAAAATTTAATGGATCGGCATTCAGTAGACTGCGATAAGTATATTCAACAACGCTTAAGTCGAAAGCGTCAGGAACAGTTGTTTACGCTGTGAAAGAGCTGTGGTGGATGTTGATGGGGTTGATAATGGGTACGTGAAATTATTTCAAAACGTCCGCGTGAATGTTGAGACCAGCGACAGCAGGATGTGCCACCCGTAATCGCCTCGAGTGGACGACCAACGATGGGTTGGAAGTGTGGATCGTCGTAATGAACGACAATTTTTGCGGTTAATTAAAAACAATTTCTATCTGTATACATTGCCCTGTCCGACGGGGTGAACCCTATAAGACCGTCTTCGCCAGTTTGTTCAATATATTATAATATGTACATAATATTATAATATACGTGTATATTCTTGGTGAGCGCAAGGGAAAGCAAAAGTGAAAAATAAAAAATATATCCGAGGACAGAGAAAATAATACTATCGAGGTTGACCTTAATTACACACTGGCGGAGGGTTTGATGAGATAAAACATGACTAATAATTTAATAGGGTTTTTGCAGTTGAAGTTTGTCGGTTTCTGAGGATAATAATTATTTTAATCGGGCAGCAAAAAAACAAATCGTATACACACACACGCGCGTATATTTCTTATCGTTTTAATATAAATAGCTATATATTGAAGACAAATTCAGTGGAATAAAGTATTATCCATATTATGCATATAATCAATATATTAGGTATTAGACATTAATAAGTTTCAAACCATCTATCTAACACTTACGAGTGACTTCAATGCGATAAATAATATATTCTATATGATATACGTCCAAGTAATTTCCACGGCATGGTGTATACTTTATCAACTGTATGCATGTACATACCAGAATGCGCCGTAAAAAACGTAATCCCTGAAAAAACGGCGGTGTTCGATTTTTCACAGAGCAATATCTATACGAATGCGGAATAGAATAGATATGTATTTATGCGTATGTTGCTACTATTTTGTCGTAAAAAATAAATGTGTCCATACTATCGACGGGCACCTATCCTAACCTAATAATCGCTTCATCGCACACATCCATATATTACCTCATACTGTGAACTTAAACATCATAAATCATTTTTTTATATTATTGTAATACAACATAAAGATATTTACGTTTCACTGTACATAGTACATATGGGTAAATATTGAATCATCACCATCATCAATAACTACCTAATATATTATAATATACTCGTAAATGTAAATGTTGTTTCTGTCAACGACGATTAGCGATTGTACAAGATAAACTCACAACACCGATAGCAATGAGCTCGTTAATCCCAACATATCGAGAAGGAGTAATTTTTCATTGAATTAAATCAAAATTATGCACTGCACGAATAAGACAATTAAATGGTGAAATTAACTTCGCCCTTTCGCGAGGGTATTTAATACTTGCACAAAAACTCTACACGATTACGCATCATCACCAGATCACCTTCACCATTTAAATGCGTTATTATGATGTAAACGTATAAAACGTATAAAAACCATAAACGACATTATATTACACTATTCACGGCTTTTGAAAATAGTTTCTAGGCCAAAGCTGTTTATTAATTAATGCGGCTGTACCGACGTCACCACACGTCGTACTTTTCACCACTTTGGTTTTTAAAAATGTTAAAGAAAAACGTAACGGAATAAAGTAACGATCAGCGACGAGTGTATGAATGTATATACATAGGTGACTTTTAAGCATTTATACTCTATTCAGAATATTCCATTAACTACATTAACTACCCTATATTTTTTTAAGAAAATTTTTACATTTTTGAAAATAATTTTTTTAAATTTAGTATATTTATAAAACAACATTTTATAAAATATCATCTTTTACTATTTTTTATTGTAATGGATTTTTATTGAAAACAATTTTATGAGTGTAGTAAAACGGCAAGTGTAGGTAACCAACAAAAGTTGTGTTTGACTACCCTGCTCATTCGAACTAAAAATGCTTATTAATTAATAATTATTTGTTCATTACCTTACAATAATACATCAAAATAGATGATTAATTTTTTTTTAACTATATAAGCTGAAAAAAATACAAAGTATAACGTGTGTTCTACTGCAATGTATATAAAACAACGATTATCAGTATTATTTTTAGTGGTAAGATAAATTAATAATAAATATAAAGCATTTTTGCATTATACAAGAGATTCAATCTTAGTGATTGCTATATTCAGAAGTGTACTGAACAATTTTTAGACCCGAGGATAACAACTACCATTTGACAACAAGTTTTTATCTATATTTTTTTTTTTTTTTTACTTTATACTCGTACTATAATACCCATTCACCCATTTTGGTCTTGAGGAAATTGCTCAAAACTTCAACTGAATATGGTTCATGTTGTATAATTATAACGTGTAATGTTACATTCACTATTAAAAGTATCTATAGTTTTAAGTCTAGATGACACCTAATCATCATAGTTAATAGCTGAATAGTTTGACAATGAGTAGAAAATTGAATTAGTCTTAAAATTTTAAATTTTAAATAAATTGTGGTTTTCATTTTAATTTCTTATTTATAAATCCGTATGGACGTCTTCATAGATTTAATATTAGAATAATCAAAAACATTGAACATTTTAATATTGTTGAGATCATTAAATAAAGTTTTAGACATGGTAAACAAAGTTAATTTTTAACCCATATTAAATCTGTAGTAACCATATTAACGTCAATTAAATCGTAGTACGTATATTATAATATACGTATACATTTATTAAGACTCCATTAATTTAAAAATATATACAAAATATACAAATACAATTTCACATGTATTTTTTGATTTTACTGAATCACACAATTATAATCTGGAAGGATAAAAAAACAGTTATAAAATTACTAATTTGGTATGATAAATAATAAGCCTTTCACCATAACTCATTTAATCCAAATAATGCAGTTTATCCTTTGTTGGATATAATAATTGTAATTTCTTAATAAATCATACAATTTAAGAAATCATAATATATTTTATATATTTATTTATACATGCTATACAATTCACAAAAATTTGAAATCCATTTATAATTATTAGTTAGGTACATTAAAGGTCTGATTTTAAGTGATAATAATTACATTATGTCAAATGCCTATAGTTATAAGTACTTACTTAATATTAAAATTAAATAATTAATCATTTTAAAATATGTTTTTTAAGACATTTAAATCAAAATATAACATTTATCATATCAATGAAATAATAAAAATACTTGAAAAAAAATGTGTCACAAACTAAAAATAGGTGTATACATTTTATGAACCGTCAATTTTTTCTGATACGTACTACTGTTCCATACTTCCATACAATATATAGTATAAATATATATCTATATAAGTGAATAAATAAGTAAAATTCAAATGATAACTTATATTTATTATATTATTATTAAAGCAAACTTGATGTTTTTTTTCTGTAGATTTTAAATATTAATTTCCGGTGCGAGAAAAACAGTTGCGTTCAATTTTGGTAGACAATAAAAAAAACAATATTCAAGACCAAAAAATGTTTTAAGTTATTCAAGATTAAATCCCTTTTCTTGATAGTTAAAATTTAATTTAATAAAAATGTATAGTTGTTAACATTTTATGTATATTATTATCTCAAAAGATTTCAATCAAATTCGATTAATATTGTCGTTGGATATATTTAAGCCCTACCGATTGTCGATGTGCTTCTTGTACGTGTTTAATACGAAAACAGTGTAGTAAAAAAATACGGAGATCCTTTGCAAATGTTATACTGAATGATAAATGAACCTTTTACATAATAAAATGTTCATTTATTTCGGTGTGTCCAACCTACTTCTTTTTAATACACTGGACACATTGGCTTGCACTACTTGAGGCTAGTGGTAGAAGGGTTACAATCGGGATAATACTGAAATATACCCCAGGCCTTGAAATTAGAAAACGCTTTTGGGATTTTGTTGTTTGTTTCCAGTAAAAGCTATAGGGGAGGATAGATGGGAAAAAATGTCCTTATCGGTTGTCTAAAAGACAAATGTGCTTTGTAAACGAATAATATCCATTGTGAATAAATTTGTCTCCTGACATTCGTTTTTCTTGCACGATTATTTTTAAAACTGTATGTATTTTTTTCTCCCTCTAGGGATCCCAACGATCACGATGATAAGCCAGATTCCGGATCCAAAGAGCGAAACAGGTTTCGAAGCGTCACATGGGATGAATATGATCCAGTGCATCAAAAATATTTAGAAATAAGTGAGTGAAATTAGATACATTGAAATTATTACGTTTACTTATTATTTGAAAATTTAAAATGTTATACTTATCTTATTTACTTATTTCTCATTTGATTTTCTCAAAAGTTCGTTTGAAGAAAACTAAAATTATTTATTTATTTTATCATTTTACTTTCTCATCAACTTTACACTATAACAAACCAAAATACCATTCAAAATTGTGAAGCTCACGTTAAAATGAATTCAGTGCTATTGTTTTTTCGTGCATCTAACATTATTATATATTAATACAGAACCAACGTAGCGTAGTCAGAGATCAGAAATCTCTTTTATACTCAGTTTTCGGTGTGTAATTGGTTTCCTCTAATGTTTTCAGCTAACAATATTTCCTAAAATAATTTTTTTTCGGTAAGTTAAATAAGAAATCTAATATTTATTGCCACTGCCAAGAAACTGTTTAGACGATTAACTGCAACTATATTTCTAACCTATAAAACCAACACGAGTGAGATTAATACCATTAAACTACATAGGTACTACAACCAAAATTGTTTCATCATGTTTACGCCTTATATAGTTATGCGTAATATATATTATTATTATTATTATTCGAATTAAACAGAGAATGATTTTTCAGATAATAGTCTCAAATAAATATTCATAAAGTAATTCTTTTTTTTTTTACAATAATTCATTATATTTTCAATTCATATTAAAGTTATTTTTTTCATATCTATTATAATAATATGTTAGAGTTATAACAAGAAAATTAGTTACAAATATTCCTATAATCATCTATACCTATTACGTAAAAGCTAATTTGAAAATTTAATTATGCCTATAACTAAAACGGTTTAGTACCTAAAATGAAAATATTGATTTTGAAGTTCCTCGATAAACAGAGCACCTGCAGCCCCGAGATCTGTTACCAAACTTGAAATTACCATTTACTAGTATTTACTAGTACAACCACATAGACCAACACGTAGTTATTAATATATATATATATATATATAATTGAAGACTGTTTGTTAGTTGAACAGTAGATATGTATAACTAGTTTGTGTGATAGACGAAGTTGTTTCAAATGAAACTAGGTATTATTAGTTGTCATCCTCAATGGTTTCTATACCATAATCTTTATAGCTGTTTGTAAATTTTGACAGTTTTGAAGTTTCATTTGGTAGCCAATACGTACAATAAATATAAACTATTCGGACGTTTTTAAATATTTCATCTACTTGATAAATTCCTTGTCAGTAATTCTGTTCATTTTAAAGATAGAGTTTTTTGTTTATGCCAGTGTACATTTTCTAGAATTAAAATTGACAGTTACTTTTCCATTCTAATTTTCAATTGAATATTATAATGTAAACATGATTTTTTTTACTGTTTTGACCATCTCTTTAATAATATTTATATTTTATATTATCTTACTATATAGTTATAAAATATTATGAAACACTATGTTTATTATTTATCAAGTCTTGTAATTATTTCACTGATCATACATAAAATTCTTATAAAATGTATTTATTATTATTATTACTTTTTATATTATAATATTATAATAATTTATCTAAGCAATTTAAATACTAAACTATTTTTTTTTAACTATCCTGTTGGTAGTCCAGTGTTTCATAGAATAATTAAATAGATAATATTCTATTATCTAATTCTATTATTATAATATCGTATAATAATAGATATTTTTATCCATAAATATAACTAATTATATACACAATGATTGTAGTTTGTTTAATATAAAAATTATATTAATGAGAAATCTTTTTATCATTATATAAATTACGAAGGCGTTTAAAAGTTACATTGAGTTGCACCCAATACAAACACAAACCTACTTTCTAATTTCTACATAGTTTTGTTTTAGGCGTTTTGTCAATTGTACATGTATATTATTTAGCATATAATATTACTAAAATAAATAAAATTATATTTTTCAATTATTGAATAAATAAAATAGTTCTTCCATTTTGAAAATCCTACAAAATTAGTAACAGTAGGAATATTTTTAATTTTGTTCATAAACTTACTATATTACTTATATTTTTACCACCCATCTACTCTTTTAGATAAAAATGAATACTAGTACCACTAGATATAAATTATTTTATAAATTAATAAACACTCGTATTAAATTGATTGTTTCAAGTTTATATAACCTCAGACAAAAAAATGCTTTACAATAATCACTAGAGATAATAGAAAGTTTTATAAACCAATGCTGTAAAACGATTATTCAGCTATAAAATAATTATAATAAAAAACAATAGGTATATTTGAATCTTTTTTATTCGTTTATAAAAATTTTAGATTAAAATCCAATTATAACTGATATTAATAATATATTTATTACTTTATTTACTTAATATATTAATAGGTTTATTTTTTTTTTTTAATATTATATTAATGTCTGTTTATCCGATTATATTTTATACGATGTAAAATATTTTAATCATTGAATAGTTTTAATTATTAGCATACATGTTTTGAAATATCAATATTTTTTATCATATGGATCGTAATTTATTATTTATAGGATTTTTTTACACCTTTCATTGGAGATGATGTGATTTTAATCCCGTTTATTGTTGTTTTGCTTATATGATTATTAAATACTCAAGCATAATCTACATACGTATAAACCTTTTTTTTTAGATTCTGAAAGAATAGAGTTATTTATTTTATTTTTTAAATATTACATTTTTGCTTGATATTGAATTATTTTTCACCTCATACACCAACGATTTTATGAAAAAGTATATACAATAACAAACCTACGCCATGACGTTAGATTTATTCTAATTCAGTTATTCGAAATTATTACAGGCATGAAGCCCCGTATGAAGAACCATTTCCGGGCGCACCAGCTGTCCGTGTGGTTGCGGCTCATACCGGAACTGCACCGGGCCGGCATGGAGGACGTGATGCTGCGGCATAACCTGTTCCGGAACCACGATGACGCAGAACTGTACGAGGGCGTGGTGAGGCCAGACCCGCTGTCCAGGCGGGCGCCGCAGCGGGCCACGGTAAACCGATTCACGGCAAATGGCACGGTGGCCGAAGTGGTGCAGTCGCTGACCACCACGAGTCGGCCACAATGGCCGGTGGCGGAAACGACCACGTGCCTGCCGCCGGCGCGCGGCCCGAACGCGGCCAACGCGTCTACGTCGGCCGAGGACGCGCTGGCCACGCTGGGCGCGGCTGGTTACGCAGCCTACTCGACGGCGCTGCACGTGACCATCGCGCTTGGTGTGTCGTTGCTAGTGCTCAACGGCCTATTGCTGGTGATCATATGTTACCAGAAAGACAGGTTCAAATGTCTGCAACACGACCAACAGCACCAACACCAGCAGACGATCGGCGGCCAGGAGGACTCGGTTAGGTACAAGGCGGCCGCTGTGCCGGACGACAGGCAGTCGGCCGTGGTGGCGGTGGACAAGGTGGGTGGTTACGACGGGCGCCACCACCATCTGCAGCAGCACCACCATCCGCCGGGGCAGCAGATGCACTTGGGTGCGAACGCCGTGGCCGTGGACATGGAGCAGAGGCATCACCACCATCACGGGGCCGGCGGCCACCATCCGCACCACCACATGCATCACCATCACGTGCCGACCACCGTCGGGGGACAACATTCTGTGCCGCCGTCGCAGACGACTACGACCGCGACGGCGACGACGACCGCGCAACAGCAGCAGTTGTCGGCGGCCACAGCGGCGGTGCGCGTGGCCGCCGGACACGACATGACGTTCCCGAAAGCGGTCAAACCGTCATCCAGACTGCTGCACGACCACCAGATGATGGGCGGGGGTGGCTGTCCCCCCAACGGGTCGTTGGTGCACGGCACACTGCCCAAACCTCCGCCGCCGCCAAGGTCGTCGGTGGGAGTGCAGTCGCAGGAGTCGCAGCCGCTGCTCGTGCAGCAGGGCGTGGGCATTGGTCAGATGCCCAAAACCGGTACGCTCAAGATGCCCGTGGCCGCCATGAGTGAAATGAGGGTCTGACCGTCGCTCCTGTCTATCCTGCTGCACCTGCATTCGCCGTGTTCGTGCTGACCAGCGCAGTCCGCGCAGTGTATGAAAGAAATGCAACGGTTGTTATATGTCGCCGTTGTGGTCCTGGTCGTCCGTGCGATTCCGTGTGTTATAAAATAGGATATCGCTATCTATTCGGCATTAAGTATGAATAACACTAGCGGCTTGAAAATAATACCGAGGTTAAACATACTTCCGGGTGGCCCTCCTCCAACGCGATGCGCCGTGCCGAACGACGCTACTAGTCGATACGCGTGTTATGCGTATAAATTCGTACCACGGGCTCTGATACCTTATACCTCTGTTCGCGATATCATTACCATGTAAATAATAATAGAGATATTATATGACATATTTAATCGTTTATTCCGATACACATTATTATCATATTACGCGCATTATTCGTCACTGTCGTACATAGAAAACGGTGTTGTAATGTTATTATTTATTATATCGTTTTGTTTGTTAAGTATAGAATAGTATTATTATGCTATTATTCTGATAGAATATGTATAGTATAAGCGATTGCGTTTGACTGTAAAACTTAACGGTTTTATAGTCTTATTCTCACTGTAATATTTGTAACCACGTCAAAAGTCTTATGCTGAGTGAGCAACGGTGGCTAATATGGTCAGATCGTCAGACACGATGTTATCATATTATATTATTTGTATTCTGCACCTTAAACATAACTTGACTTATTTAAAATTTGATTCTTCAAATATTTCATAATGACGTTGAGTTCCAACGATCGTATCTTAAACTCTGAATAATTCAAATAGGTAGTCAAAATTTGTTTGCTAAATTGTATATTGTATAATCCCGAGGAAATAGAATGTATACTTCCCTAAATCTAATGATTTCATCATTTGTAAAGAAATTTATAGACTCTAAATAAATAAACTTAACTTAACGATAAAGGCTTATTGTTAAGTTGTAAAAAATTCATCGTATATTGAAGTAGATAAAAATTAAAAGTTACTGCTGCAAACGTTTAAAAATGTAAACTTTATTATTTTTATTTTAAATATAAATTAAGTAATCAAATATAATATTTTGACTATTGTTGTATTATTTAGATTGTTGATTTCACGTTAAATTTAAAATTTCATCAGTGTCGCAGAATACGATTTTTTTTGTGATTATAATTAGTCCGTAGTTACATTTGAGTTTGTTTTATCATAATTTAGAAAGATAATATGTTCACGCTATTTACGAATTTTTAATGTCCCTTCTATCCCATGCATGTCAAAAATATTTATCTATTGCTGAGAAAACATTTTATACCGGGAATAAAATATATCACATCTTACGTGTAAAGTGTAGTCACAAGCCTATAACAACGCATGTATTTTTAAAAAGATAATTTAATCCAACAGTTCATTATTGCATTCATTATTAGATTAACATATTATATCATATTTTATTACTATGGTAAGTAGTTTGTACTTGGTAAAGCAAAACGACATACAACGTATGTACTTAATATCAATTCACTCCGCATCATTTAGTTTTAATATTTTATATCAAGTATACAAATCGTAGTAGATATTTAAAAAAAAAAAAAATGTTTACCATCTTTGTTATTTTATTTCACTTCAAGGGCGATGCGGACAAAAAAAAAAAAAAAGTAATTTATATTAATAAATTATTTTGTTGCGTCCCATGGACGGGAGGACTCACCGACGCTACGACTATATATTAGCCATCTGACTTACAATATTAAATAATTATAAAATTAATTAAAATAATTGCATTGAATCTGGTTACTAAAGTTCACTTCTAGACATCTCGTTTTATTGTACATAATATTATTATAACTATATTACAAGCTTCCGTTGCTAATGTTTCTGTTGTATGGTTGAAAGAGCAGTTAAGATAGTTCAGTTACCAAAAAAGAAAGATCATTAGTCGTCAGATGTCTCTCTGACGTTGACTTGAGTACACTGTGTGAAAATAATCTTTTATCGCACCCCAATTATTTTGCAATTTTAAAGCTAATTATCAATCTATTGGTTGCCTTATAATATCAGACTGCCCTATCCGCGCATTCAAAAGCACCATAAGGGATTTCTTGCTATCTAATCCAGAGGTTAACCATTTGATCAAAGACCTAGACATAGATCTAAAATACCTGATATGTTTGATTAATTTCACCAACAGATTACCACTTAACCTTCTGCTGTTAATTATATTATGCTAATCTTATTTCATTTTATCAGGATTTATTATTTTATTGTAATTACCGTATTTTTAATTTTATAAACATATATTTTGAATAACAATCTTGATATATTTTTTAGTATAATAATAATAATAATAATTAACTACTATTATTTAATAATTAACTACGAGAAAATGTTTAAATTTTGTGAAAAACGCCAGAAAAATATTAAATCTGCTATAAATTCTGAAGTTTATAATAATTCCCAATATTATTTTAATATTATAGACACCCTGTAACGATTCACTGAGAGATTATATTGGATAAAACTTACGCTTACAAATTTTGCTTTAATAATGATATAAAACTAAAAATAAAATTTTAAACTGAAAGGTGGGTATATGTATTTATTACATAATTTTAACTTTTAGAGTACATTCATTAATTGATTGAATAAATTGTGAACTATTACCACACCTACATTTTAATTAAATTAATCACGGAAACCATTATCCAAACTTTTCGACATCCGCGAAACACGATTAGCCTTATTTTGATTAAATAACTAGATATTCAACTACGACACATGTCAATTATATTATAAGCCCAAATCTAAAACCATAATATTTTTAATGATTAGGTATAACAATTTTGTGACTATCACCAATTTATTGATTTATTTTACAATAATAATAATTTTTAGTCAGATTAAATAATGTATTCTACAAATCTAATGCTTATAGAAACATTTTAGAATATTCTTAAATACGATTTAAGAAATTTTTTAAGCTGGTAAAAAACATAAAATTAAAGAAATGGAAGGTGAGTAATTGATGACATAATGTAGAAGAACAAGTAAAATTGAAAACAAAAAACAATATTTTTGTTATCCTATGGCTTTTCCTTTACAGAACCATCAGTATTAAAGTTTTTTTCTCTAGAACTATAAACATAATAATAAAACAAAAAACTTTTCTTATTACTTTGACCGTATTAAAAGTTTGTTATAATTTATTTAACAGAAAGGTTAAAGTGATTTTTTTACGCAAAAATCTTTGAAAAATGAAATTTATATATATAATATATGCCTACAATTAAAATTATCTTTTTTTTATCATACAATCACTATGAATCAAATAAAAATTATATAAATTTGATTGATTTTTTTTTAAAAAAAAAGGATTAATCATGGCGGTTGTTACTTAAAGAATTTTTCAGAAATTATATCATACAGTAATTAGGTTTTCAATATAAATATATACGGTAATTTAAGAAAAAAATAATGTAGTTCATGCCATTAAGTAATGAAATTATACCTCAAGTAGTAAATATAACAAACTTTGGTACATGAATTTGTATAGTGTAAATATTACATTTCCAAAAAAAAAAAAATAATAATAATAATAATAATAAATATATTTGGAATGTCACGACTTTCATAGCCAATAACAGTTGAAAATCGTATACATTTGTATTTCTTTTTCATGCAATTATTTAAAATCATAAAATAAAACTTTTTAAGGATGTATTTTGGGTTATATGTTTCAAATATCTATGCAATCAATTCAATATATTATAAATGTATACTATCATAAATTATTATTACAACATTATTACATTTTTTGGTTTAAATTTCGGCTACCATAACACTGTAATAATATATTAGTTCATCGTAATTTTTATGTGAAAAATATGAAAAGTATTTATAATAAAATTAATCGACTCAAATTTTATATAAAAACATATTTACTCAAAACAATAATAACCTGGTAAAAATTTAAACCAAAATAATATGACATTTTCATCCCGTAGTGTCAACGGAATGAATTCAAAAAAAAAAAAAAAATGTTTTTCTTATATATTATAATAGTGTCACTATAATATTATCATTTCCTATCGGTGTTTATTGTATTATGACAGGTAGATGGCTAACTGTATTGTAGATAACCGATCAATAGTATAGTAATATTGAAATTATACCGTGGAATACACTGTCGGAAAACTTTTAATATATCTGAACATAATTTATTGAAGTACATACATGAAAATCGCGTCGCTATATTATAAATTATAATACATAATATCATATAAGTGTATTGTACCTATATTAATTAAATTAGTTTTCTTTCATTTAAAGTCGAGATTAATAAAGTTCATTTTTAATTTAAAATACTTAAATAGTTTAGCGAGTGTTTTCTTTTTGTATCATGATAATCATTCAACAGTTGAAAAAATTTTGATCAAAAGTTAATAATTTATAATATTTTAAAAATACTAATTGATGTGCATAATACTTTAATATTATTATTTGGTGAAGTTTATGAATATTTTTTTAATTTTAAAGACAACTTAATGCGTATTTTCTTTCAGTAAAATCAGAAAAATAGTTTACTAGATATTTATTCCATACATAATAACTAATAACTATTATCTAACTAATATTTTGATATTATATGTATATTTGGATGTTTGTTATGTTCTCGATCAATATCTGTATCGTGTAATGACAGATAGCCCATTTTATTGTGTGAAATATTCATTGAACTACCAAAGTTGTAAATACAATTTTCGTACCTTTTTATGTTTATTTATATTTAAAAACTAGCGATCAAAAAATATATATACCTATATAATTTATTATTATTGTAAACTATTTTGTAAGTAGTATCTATAATATTATATTTGTATAATGTCTATCAATGTTAAAAAAACAAAATTAAAAAAAAAATATTGTAAACTTAAACTATCAAAATGTTGTTATTGTAACTATTATACACTGTTAAGAAATTATTATTATTATTATTATAATTATTATGTTAATATTCAATAAATATCCGTTGTGCATTTATAAATAATTTTGAATTAACTTTTTACAACAAATATCTATAATATCTAGTAGAATACGTAAAACCATCAAAAGCTTGTCAAAAATAACTATTTAGACAAATAATTTATTTACTATAATAAATCCAGCAACAAAATTATAACTAGTGACGAACTTTTTTGACTTAAACATCAATTACTATTTATACATGTACAATAAATACCTAAAACTAGAAATTTGAATTATATACAAATAGATACATATGTTAATATAAACTACTCTAAATAAGTAAAAAAAAAAGACAACAATTTAAATGCAGTTGATATAATATCATGTAATAATATATTATAATGCATACGACAAAGAATATTTTAGATAAAATAGATATAAATAAAATGCTAGTAAACGAAAACAATCGAATTTTAATAATGTGGAAAATTTGTATAATAGGTATTTGGTAGTTGTAATTCTTGTCTATTACTTTTGAATTGATTATATATTTTTATAAGCTTTAACAGTGACAGAGATTAATTAGTGGGTAGAATGAAAAATAAATATACATCAATCTGCCAGTCATATCAGTCAATTAATAATTACCGAATAATTTACAAATTTCCGATCAAATGTAATATATTAGGCCGTCGAAAACATAATGAATTGACTGTTACATTATAATGCTACTTCACATATTGCAATCATTATAAATAAAAAAATTATAAAATATAAAAAAGTATAGAATAGATATTATGAGTGTTTAATAAAATGACAATATTCATATCATACATTTAAAAATTGACACAGTAATATACCTATTTTTAGTATGTATAATTTAAATCATTTTAAAAAGTCAAATAGTAGACATTGGTTGACCTGAATTGTCTAACATACTGAATTAAGAACTATTAATTAACTTGAAAACGTAAAAATTAAATAATATATTCAAAAAACTAAAAAGTGTTATAGTAAATGATTTTCTGGAAATATTTCACACAAACCTTGATATAAGAAATACATAGTTTTACATTAATATTCGTTAAATATTAATTAAAATTTTTAAAATATTAAAATATAATTAATTAAACAACATATTATTACTTAAACGTGAATAATTAAAATGTTTAAGAGTTAATATTAAATGAAGATATAATAGAAAACAAAATATAAATTAATAACAAAACTATATTTTTTTACTTAAAAAAAATATATTTCTACTAAAAAAAAATATTTCAATACAGTAAGTATTTATAACATTATTCAAAACGCACTTATTTGTTTAAAGAACTTTTCGTTGTTAAAATTCCTAACATCATAATGCTCTTTTCTGCCAAGGCTTATTAGTATTTACAGATTATAAATTGCCTACCTACTAAATGTATATATATATTTTTTTTTTGCCTGACAATTATATTTTTGTGTTTATTTATGTAACGAAATACATGACTTCTTTAATTATTAAATTAACGAAGTATGTCTGATGTTAATAACCACTTTACATATTTAATCATAAATTATTAGTTCCAATACATATTATAATTTTCATAATAGTTCTTAATCAATAAGGAGCTGATTAACTTTGTTTTTCAGTCAATCTATTCCTAATATAATAACTATGGACAAATATTAATAAGAGTATTATTGTGATCAGCTACTCCGCTAGCCACATTGTTAAATTGTATTAATACTATCTCGTACGTGACTATAGTTCCAGCCACCTAAACAATCACGATAAAATTTGAAATTAGTATTTATATTAAAAAATACTCTATTAAAAGAACAATCTAAAATATTAAAATAATTTTTGTAACCAACCGTTAGCATAAACGTCCTCGTGACAGAAAAAAAATTACAACCAGTAAATGATAATTCGTCAGCAGACACTTGTAGTAAAAATCTTTCTACCTATTAAAAAAAAAAAAACTATTTTAACATTCTAATTAAATGATAAATAAACGTCACATTTTTAAACTACACTTAAAATTCACCTCGACTCCATAGCTCTCTGATGGCACAGAGAATAAAACGGTTTTTGGTTTTTTGCTTTGATCATTAATGGATGCGACATACAAAGACACCACACAAGTTCTTCCAACTAGATATGTAAATAAAAATGCAAAACATAGAGCTTCCCAAGAACTGTGTATAGGCCTAAAAATATTTTTATTATCTTTAATAATACTAAAAAAAAATAATTTTTACACACTTCAAACTGTTAAGAAGTTGTAAGCAAATAAAGTACAAATTATGGCCAAATGATAATAATATCACTGGAGATAAAAATTCATCCAAGTCATGAGTTAATGATGCTAAAGTATTAAATGTTTCTCTAGACTTCCGCCAATACATACTTGGAAGTACCTAAAAATTAAATAATAATATAAATAATCAAGTGATTTTTTATATATTTACATTTTATAAAAAGAAGTGTAATGTTAATCAGTAAAAATGAAAAATAAAATAATAATTTTTATAACCCAGAATAGATTTACTATACAGTTTACTACTCGTATAATGATAAACTAAGTGTAATTTAATGAACTTCGAATTTTTGTGAACATGTGCTTTTTAGTTTTAGTTTTATAGATAATTCACAATTTTAAAATTGCTAGACTCAGATTAATTGATATACATGATATACCTTGTTAAATTTTTATAATCAATCAAAAATGAATATTAATAATATAATATTCAATTTTATAAATTGAATCTGTAAAAATGATATTATATTGATCATAATATACATATTTTATATACTATATCAAAGTAAATTGCTGTTTTAGATATCAGTTTTACTTATAATTAATAATAAAGATAATTATTTTAGCTATAAATAATTTATTAGTTATTAAATCAATAAGTTATAATTTAATAAGACTTTATGCTATTAGTTATAACTAACTTTTCCCCTGACACTGTCCAATTTTTTGTTGAGCTGCTTGAATTTGTTGGTCAAAGCACAGGCAAGTATAATTATAAATAAATCCACACAATTCCAAGCAAAAGAAAACAGACAATCGAAAAACATCAAAGGAATAGTTACTATAAACGAATAGTTTATAAACGTAAAGACCGTTTTAAACGATGTCAAAAAATAAGCTCGAAAAATATCTAGTCCATCAGATGAACAAGGTAAAACTCTCAATACTCCTGTTAAAATAGTAGCAAAGTGTTCAACTGTAAAAATAAAAATACACATAATATATTATAATCATTATTAATACCTTAAAATATATAATATCAATAAATTTCACGTATTTTTAGTAGTTACGATTGTTGTTTGTATGTATTACAGCATGTACACGTAGAGTTTAATTATTACTCTAAGCTGTTAAAAACATTTTATTTATTTATTTTTTTGTTATATTTTACGTACTTGATGAAAGTAAAATAACAATGCTTGTTAAAATTTTAAACTTAAATGCCATATTAAGTGGGTATCCATATTGTTTCATTTCACGTTCCATTAGTTCCCATTTTTCCATAATATTTGGCCATTCCCTTGCCAAATGAATAAAAACTATGTAAGTGACTAGTGAACCTCCAAAATATACTATATCACCTACAAACAAAATAACCTAATATTTAAAAGTACTAGTTAAATTAAAAAATAATATATGGTTTTAATGATATTTATTTATTGTTACTTGTTATAAATTATTATAAGTAGTTATACACAGTGTATAAATATTCACTATTTTAAATAAGTGTAAATAGAACTATAATTAATAATAATATCAACTTAAAAATACTATAGGCTTATAGGTAATAATTTATTGAAATTTAAAATTATTTGAATTTTTAAATTTTAAACAATACATAATTATAATTCACCAAATTTGCTACGGTTAAACTTTTATTTAACCATTACAATCTTTAACTACTGATATCATCCCTTTATGTTTCCCAACAACTTACCCCTGAGTCCACTCAATAGTTATCATAATGAATATATTAGTTTAAAAAAAAAATTCCATCAACAGTAAAACCTAACCTATAGGCAACTCAATCTTCAAATTTTACACAATTTATTCGGAGAAAAAACGTACACAGATGCCTCAAAAAACCAAGCGAGAATGGGTGTTTTGATAATTTGGAATAATATAAAACTTATATGTAAGCTACCAAATACAAGTTCAATTTTTACTACAGAATCATACGCAACTTCAAAAGAACAAAATTAGGTATAGATAAAATATTTCGAAAGTAACAATTTTCTCTGATTCTCTTGATGCGATAACCAACATTAAAAATGCTTACAATACTTAACAGTATACGTACACATACAGGGGCAAAGTTTGTTACAATACGAAAAAGAAAAAGGAAACATTATTCAATTATAGATCATTTTAATATCAAAGAAAATTAAATGGCTGATAAGGGAGCAAAAGATGTAATATCTAACCCTTCAGAAACATCAGTCCAACTTGTAATGAGACAAGACGTAATACTACTAATCAATTATCAAACTTCAATACCAACACGTGGCAGATAAACTGAAAATGATTTTGTACGAAACCCTGTGAAAAAAAAAAAAAAGTTTTCATATAGAAAATTTCCTCAGATCTTCTTAGAAACTTCAATACTATTCTAACAAGACTCCGGATTGGGCACACTCAAATGACTCACGACCACCTAATAAGTAAAAACAACCTCCCTAAATCCATCATGCGGTATCCTAGAAAGTCACACATAGACGAAATTTAGAACAAATAAAAAACTTCCAAAACACGTATTAGAATCTCTTGGCCATAAAATATCTTCATTATAGCAGACACCATTAATTTCTTCAAAAAACAAATCATCAAAATAATCCATGAATTACAAAAATGTATATATTTCACTTAAAGTTCCTAAAATTTGTCAACTAGTCAATATTAATATTTTCAATAATTAAAATTAAGTCTACTATTTAACATAACATGTTTCCCAATGTTACCACGAATATTTTATCAAAAAAAAAAAAAAAAAAACCATTAATGATTAGTGACTACCTACAATAATTAATAATTTATATAGTTATCACATTAGTATAACCTTTGATTAACCTAATATGTAATAAATAATAATCAGCTAATATTTGAAATTAAAACTTCAAATTTGATAAATACAAACTATATTATAAAAATAAATTGTAAGCTTAACCTGTGATGTCGTATGTCAGTCCATTATAATACAAGTTTAATATTATAAACAAAACCATTGTGATAGACATTCCAATTGCAATAAAGCTATATATCACTCGCCAACTGAACCAATTGAAACTAAAATATATATTAGTTAAATGATTGATTATAAATTATAAATAATTGATAATGTGTTAAATAAATGTTTACTATATTACAGATTTCAGTTTTTATAGAATTAGATACGAGTATATATTTATAATTATTTATTTTAAATTAATGATAAGTATACTCGTACATATATTTGTACCTATATTATATTCACGCTAAAAGACATCACTTAGTACCTCAGCTGAATCACATTGAACTTAATGAGATGAAAAGGAGTATTCAAATATACATTTGAGAACATTTTAAAGGTGATTTAAGATAAAAATAATTTAAGGTGATAAAACTATAAAAATTAACAAATTACAAATTTCATTATTAAGATTTTATTATTTAATAAACAGTGTTTATTTACGTCTTATCTGAAACCTATTTACAAATTATAACTTAATAAAATGAAATGAAGATGTTTAAAATATCTTTAAACACAGATAATTTATATTTTTATTTATTTTGATACTTTGTTCTACCATTTGCCTCCTAAAAATCTCATTTTATTCCATAATCATTCATACTAAATTTTTAGTGTCTTCCTAACTTAAAATATACAAAATTATTGAGATTTTTTGTTATTTTTTTCACTAAAATGTTTAATATTACTAGGTATAACAATGTTATATATTATACAACAACAAACGTATAATCTACGAGAATTAAAGAAATCCAATTAATAATAAAATAAATTTGGATAATTTTATAATATACGAGTACGTATAGAATTGCTTACACTAAATAACTAGTGTTTTGTCCTCTAATGCCTTGAACTGGTAAAATAGCGCATATTTGCGCTAAAATAAGTACAGGAATTATGGCTTTGTGCATCGAATTTGTATCGCTAATTATATCCTTCCTTATACTGTCTTCCAAAGCTTTGATTCTCACGTAATTCACTGGCATCCCAAGATCATCTTGTATTTCAAGTGCTGTAAAAAAAAAAATAAATAAATATAAATTAAATTATTTTTACAAATAATATTTTTAATTAATTTATATAAAAAAAAACTATTTGAGTTTCTTGCATTAGATTTATCTTTTCATAATAATAAATTTTAAAATAATAATACATTTAAAAATCAATATTACCAATGTTTCCCTTCTTTTTTTTTAAACTAAACGTGTTATAACTTGAAACGTCTACTGGATCCGATAATGAATTTTGTTTCAACTGTCGTTCATATCCAGATTCAATGAAATTCCTGCTCTTGAGATAAACGGGCCCTAAAGTGGTTTCGTCAGACATAATAAAAATTTTTAAAACTAATGTCGTTACTATAATACAACTAAACTCATCACACTCGCTGTTTCCGAATTTAAATGTATGGAGTTGTTAAATATTCGATTGCTGAAATAAAGTGCTCATAGATATTATCGGAGTATCTGACACACGGAACACGCGCGTTAAAATACTTGATTATAGTAATTTTCGACGTTTTGAATTGTAATTTAATCCACACCATGAATACTTAATTTAAGTTTTATCTACCAAATAGGTTTGGTTAGGTTAGATAATGTCTCTCAAAAATTCTAGTAAAAAAAATATCTAGTATATACATATATTTTTAGGATATGAAAATTGCTATTACTAATTCATAAATACACTAGTAGGTAGTTTTAATTTTCATTTGAATTTTGTTTTGTACATTTTATATGCAAATATAATATTACTACCGAACACTTTATTATATATGATTACCAAAGAATAATATTAGTTTTCTTGTGACAAATAATATTTCTCCTTGTTATTTAAATATTAGGTGTAAAATATAAAATATGTATGAAATCGAGTAAAATAATACGAGTACATTAAATGGTTTCTAAATAAACGAATTTATCACTTGTATACATAATATTTATCTAAAAACACAGCTTTTAAACAAAACTTTACTTTAATACATAAAACAGTGACAAGTATATTTTAAAATAGTTTTCAGAGTTGGTTAGGTAATAGTAGGTTTCTACTAAAAAGATATATATCAAGATAGGTACTAAGTTGTATTAGCCAAGATTTTCATCGTTTAAAATAAAATACTATCCAGCTTATTTAAAACATTTGTTTACACCACCATTGTCTTCAAACAAGTATAATCTTCATTGTTATCGTAAATTGTATACCATTTTCTGCGTTGTATCTTGAGTAAAACAGAAATACCATATAATGGTAATTAAATAATTGATTCATATATTATATATACAAATATATGCAATTAGTTATGATTTACCAAATATAATTTTATTAAACTTACTCTAATATTTCTAAAACTTAAAATACTATACCTTATACTACTATACAAACAAATCATTTAAAAAATAATCTAATAACTAATTATAATAATAAAAATTTAAAGATAGATTTTTTAAATTTTTGTTTTTTTTTTTAAATTTTTATTTGATTATAATAGAATTATTATTATACAAAATAATATTATGTTATATTATTAAATATATTGCCTCTTGTTAATTTCAGGATCATACTAAATAATAAATAATTTATTCAAAAGTAACTAAGAGACTTTAACAATACTACTTATTTATATAGTTCTAATACTATTTTTCTTTAATATTTAAGACTATTTAATATAAATTAAAATAATTATGGACAGTAATTAATAGTATTATTTATATCATTAACTTCACTGTTTACACTGTTGAACTGTATTAATACAATCTCGTATGTGACTATTGTCCCAGCAACCTTAATAATTATAACAAAAAAGCATTTAAACGTAATAGTAATCATAATTTTAAGGAAAATTAAATTAAGAAAACGCGTAATCAAACTAACCGTTAACATTAAAGTTCTAGTTACTGAAAAAAAATTACATCCAGTCAATGCTAATTCATCAGATGTCACTTGCATTAAGAATCTTGCTACCTGTTATCAAAAAAGAAACCTTAATTGTTTTTTGTTGGAAAAATAGCCCTTAAACTATCTTTTAAATTTTTTTCTTTCACGTTTAATACATCTGCCCAATAAAGTAAAATCACATATTTTTAAACTAATATTTTAATATTTATAAGTTTAATATAATATTATTACTTAAATTGATAACTCTATTTTTATGTTTTTGTGTTTAAAATTATTAATACTTCAATTTTAAATAAAAATAAAAATAATTATAAAATAATAATATATATTATATACTATTTATAATTCTGTACCATCATCTCAAACTTAGCTTAAAGATAGTAGGTGTTATTTTGAATCGTTGTATCGTATAATTTTATAATAAATAAAGAAAAAATATATAATTTATATCTATCTGTAAATATTGTTGAATTATTCTCTTTATACTCATTTTTTCCCCACATTTTATCATCTAGACACAACCCTTTTTTTTATATTTGAAATAAATAAATACATGTAATATTAATAAGACTGACTAAAAATCAATAAAATCTATGAATCTTCGTATATCATTCTATTACCACCTTAGCTTTTAATCCTATTAAAAAATATATTTTTATTTACAGTTAAATCAAAATTGTAATGGTGCGGTAAAATGACAAAAGTGCTGTGGTAATAAAACCCATAACTATAATTTTTCCTTTTTTTTTTTTATATAGACAATGGGGTTAATATCTGAATCTTCTATACTCGTATATTAAAATCAATATGCCATGTTTAATTTTAATTAAACTAAACATTTTTTAGTGGAGGAAATTTCGATAAAAATAAAAATTTACATCTTAAATCCTAATATGCCTTCGAAATTATTATATTTTTTTTTCAATTTTTTGACAAGCGTTTTATGTTATTTTTATTTACACAACTTGTTATATTATATACTTTCTTAACATTTAATTTAATATACTGTACAGTTATTGATTATTAACAAACTTTATATCATAATATAATATTCTTAATTATTAAAATTAATGTTTATTATACTTTTAAACTAATCTTAAATTCACCTCTACTCCATAACTTTCAGTTGGCACAGAAAATAGGATGGCTTTCGGTTTTTTGCTTTGATCGTTTATGGAAGCGGCGTATAAAGATACAGCACATGTTCTTCCAACCAAATATGTAAATGAGAACACAAAGTAAAGAGCCTCCCAAACGTCGTGCATTGGTCTGAAAACACGTTTAGCTTTATTAAAATTTACATAAATAATAGGTAGTGATTTGCATACTTCAAACTATTTAGAAGCTGTAAGCAAATAAAATACAAATTATTAGCAAATGATAATAATATCACCGGCGACAAAAACTCATCAAAGTCTTTAGTTAACGACGCTAATAGGTTATATGTTTCTCTAGATTTCCGCCAATATGTACCTGGAAGCACCTAAATTTCAATTATTAAAACATGTAAAGTGTATATAAATATTACAGATAATAATTTTAAAAATTTTATTTATTAATAATAAAAAACTATAACATGTTAAAAAATATATTATATTAAATCACTTATAAATTATAATATACTATCGTAATAAAGCGTTTGTTTAAATTTAATCTAACATTAAACTTTTGTTAACGGCTGAAAAATATACAATTGTTGAATAAAAATTATGTGACAAAATAATTAATGATAGTGAATATTCAATTAATATTAACATATCAAAAAAGTTATAAAATCTTCAATAATTATTGTGGACCCGAACGTTTTTATATGATCATCGAGTAATCTTTACTTCAGCATATCAACTATAGACAATATTTTCGTAACCAAACATGTCATATTAAATATTTTTATTCTATGTTATAAATAAATAAAATTATTTGTTAAATTAATTTATGATTTCATTTGAAAATATTTTTTACATTAATTTTATATAATATTAATAATTTATATGTTACTGAAGTTAATTTTATAAAACACTAATAACTGTACGATTCTATCCGAGAATAATGAACAATTAACAATTGCTGTACTCATTTTATTTTTGTTCTAATATACCTCAGTTCACAAACATGTCTCTATGCTATAATATTGTACATCAAATTATAAACGAATCTGATCGAGTGTGGGTAACCAACCAGCGATGAATTGAATATAACGTTAAGTGTATTTCTGTTCACTTAGAAAACTAACTAGTCAGTGTATTTCCGCCAGCTAAACTTCCCTAAACTGATTGTATAGTTTTTGGGTCTATAAAAAATGATAGTTAATATAATATACATTATATACTATCTGACTAGCTAAACAATTAATTGCCCTTAAAAGTTTTTTTTTCTTTTAGTGGCACCTAATTAAAATAAAGACTTATGAGAGCACTTTTCGAAACTGAACATAATACCTATGTGAATACCTTTCATGATATCATCAAAAATTATCAGATACTAACAAACGCACATTTATTTGTATATATATGTGTGTGTGTGTGTGTGTGTGTGTGTGTGTGTGTGTGTGTGTGTGT